TACTAGTATCAACTTTGTTTCTTTTGTTATTTTATTATTTTGTTAATTAAATTACATAAATTTATTTTGATGCTACATCGGCGTATTTTTTTTTCATTATTGTCATTATCTATAATGATGCAAGATGTATATTTATTGTTTTTTACTGATTGATCTAATAAAATTTCTTCAATATCTTCATCAAATTCAGATGATATATTTTCTTCTGTCACATTATTAAGATTGTAATCCTCATTTTCGTTATCACTATTCTGCTGCAAAATTTTATTCCTAACATCTTGATATGCGTCAATGTCGAAATTAAGAATAGGAAAGTTTTCTATTTCAGTTGCAGATTTACTGTCAGAATCAGAATAGTTCTTATCATAATAAGTGTCTTCTATCTGATTATTATTATGGATTGTAATACTGGGTTAAGATTTTTTAATAGTTTTTGTAAGCAAATATAACAATAAACTTATTTGATTATATAATTGTCTTAATTTTAATTATTTAAATAAAAAAATTTTGGATCAAAGAAGTTCTATTTATATATTTTTTAATTATTACAATTACGAATGTTTATTACTAGTAAAAATTATATTACATGCAGTTTTCAATTGCTTAATCACCCAATTACTCAATTACTAAATTGCTCAGTTACCTCATCATTCAATCACTCAATAACCAAATCGCTCAATTACTTAATAACCAAATCGCTCAATTACTTAATTACCAAATCGCTTAATCACTTAATTACCAAATCACTAAATCACTCAATTACCCAATCGCTCAATCGCTTAATTATTTAATAACCCAAACGTTCAATTACCCAATTACCAAAACACTCAATTAGTAAATTACCCAAATGCTTAATTATAGATGCTGGTGAAACTAAATAATGCTAGTGAAACTAATGGCTATCTAAAATCTGATTGGCTGTTATATTAAATTTTGCTAGTTTCGCCAGTTTTACCACTATTCACCAAGAGTTTCACAAGTTTCACTAGCATCTATACACTCAATCACTCAATTGTTCAATCACTTAATCGTATATAAGGTTGTATTACAAAAATTACAATTTTATATTTTATGTAATTTTGCGTAAATTTCAGTAACTCAGCTAGCATTATTGA